GCGTGCCTGTAATCCCAGCTACTCAGGAGGCTGAGGCAGGAGAATTGCCTGAACCCAGGGGGCGGGGGGTTGCAAGTGAGCCGAGATCGTGCCACTGAACTCCAGCTTGGGGCAACAAGAGCGCACCTACCAAAAAAAAAAAAAAAAAAAAAAAATGTGGACGGTCTACTTGCTCCCCAGCCCAACATCACAGAACCATCATGACCTGGAGACAACAAAGCTCCTTCAAGTTTGCCCAAAAGGTCCAGGTTCGAATCCTCCCGACTCCCTTTTGGGTCTTGGAGCAAGACCCATGTTGATGCCTGACTCTAAAATTAGGAGAACCGCGCCTGGCGCCCGCCTTCCCCAGTCGGAGCAACCCCGTCCCCACTGGTCCGTAAATGGGGTGCCACCGTCGGAGCCAGGTGCAAGGAACAGCGAGTTTATTGCAGGTTCCAATCGGGAACCTGGCACCCTCAGCTGGTTGGGGAAGGGACGCCCTCCGCTCAGAGCCCGAGCTCGTTCCGCGCAGACGCAACGCTTCTGTCCCCTCTGGTCTCGTCCCTCACGGGGCCCGGTCGCTGGGACGCACGGATGCGCATGCGCCTCCAGCTCTCCGGTTCATGTAAGACTTGGAGTCTGAACAGGCGCTACTGCGGCCTGCGCCGTGGGAGGGAGGGGAGGGAGAGGAGGGAGGGGAGGGAAGGGGAAGCGAGAAGGCGCATGCGCAGTAACGCGCGGCAGCTTCGTGGGTTCCCGCGAAACGCGCCTCTCGTGCGTCCGCTGCGCTGGCTAAGTGTCCTCGGCTGCAGGAATTGCGGGAACCTGGGCTTCTAGCCCGAGTCCCCGGCGCGCAGCCAGCAGTTACGCGCTACCTGGCCTGCCGAGGGCCTGGCGGACGGGCTGAACTGCAGCAGCTCGGCGATCATCGCCTTGCAGCGCTCGGAGAGCTCCAGGCCTTCGGGGTAGAGCACGCCGCGCTTCTGGCGCCGGGGCAGACCGGCGATGTCCGAGTCGTCGAAGGGCATGCACCCGGTGACCATGACGTAGAGCACGACGCCCATGCTCCACACATCGTACTTTTTGGGGTCGTAGGGGATACCCAGGAGCACCTCGGGTGACGCGTAGGCGGCGGAGCCGCAGTAGGTGGTGCTCAGGTCTGGGTATCCGTGAGCTTGGCGGCCGAAGCCGAAGTCGGTGAGCTTGACGCGGCGCTCGTCCGGGCTCAGCAGCACGTTTTCGCACTTGAGGTCGCGGTGCACCAGGTGGTGATCGTGCAGGTAGCGCACGGCGCCGGCGATCTGCGCGAAGAGGTCACGCGCCTGCACTCCGGGGATGCGCCCGTTGCGCTGTACGGCCTGCAGTAGGTCGGTGGCGGCAGCTTCCATCACAATGTACAGCTTGCCGTTGCATACCTCAATGAACTCGAAGACGTGCACGATGTGAGGGTGCCGCACGCCCCGCAGGATGGACAGCTCTCGAGGCAGGAACTTGTTGACGAAGTCCGGGGGCGCCCGCCGCCGGTCCACAACCTTGATGGCCACGGTACCCTTGTACTTCTTGGACGTGGCCACCTTCACCTTGGAATAGCTGCCCTCTCCAATTGTGCGGCCCAGCTTATAACCGAGTTCGCTCAGGAGTTTGTCACCCGACATGGTGGCGCCTGGGGCGCACGCGGAGCAGGAGGCGGCTGCTGTCGGGGGGCGGCCGGACTCCAATCTCGGGTCTAACCCATGGCGCTTGGCACCTGCACCCCCGCACCCCCATGTGCCCTCTGCCGCTCCTTGACCGCTGTTATGCCTTTTATTGCCCCGTAACAATTTTTGCCTTGTGAAGTGACCTCAGGCGTCACTCCGCCTTGGGGTGGGGGTCCTGGACCCCGCCCCGGGGCCACCCTAGCCTCCCTGCTTTGTGACTCATAATCACCCTGAATGGTCAGTTTCCGATGAGAGGCCACTAGCAAGGGATACCCACCACCACCAGGGAGCAGAATCCGTTCCTGGGATTGGGGTGAGTCCGAAATCGAGCAGCAGCTGCTCCCCAACATCATGTACCCAGCCCGTGACTGCGTCGAGCCCTGGGCTTCCGGTAGAGTCCCTAGCGAGGGCGAAAACGGGGAAAGAGGCCTTAACTGGGGCACCTGGCTCTCTCGGGAGCTCGGAGTTTCTGACTGGCCTGCGCAACACCCCAGAAACAAAGTGAACGCAAGGGCCTTTGATGCAAGAGCCAGGGGGTCCTAGCGACTGAGTCACGCCCTGTCTGGGGGAAAGAGGGAATAAAGACTCATCAGCTTGCAGCCTAGCTGCGCATTCGAACCCAGGGTCAGCCGTCTGAGCACTCAGGCGTGGTCGGGTAGTTACACGAGTCCCCGGGGCTTCCCAGCGCTGCGGAAGACCTTCTCAAATGCTTCCGCCACACTCATCATGGCGGTAACACACGTCACTTCTGCCCGGGCAGGAAGTGCGGTATCCAGTGAGCATGGCGGCGTCGAAGGTGAAGCAGGACATGCCCCCGGTGGGGGGCTATGGGCCCATCGACTACAAACGGCACTTGCCGCGTCGAGGACTGTCAGGTTAGTATTACTCTGCGTCGGGGTCTCAGAGTCTGGGCACTCGGGGCTCAGGGGCGTGGTTCCGGGGACACAAGCGGGCCTCAGTTTCCCCAGCGGTGTGACCGGAGGTGGAGCCCCGAGATCCCCCAGAGCTTTTATAATAACAGTAACTGCTGCAGTTTGTTGAGCGCTTTCCCAGCTCCGCCTCCTTCTCGCAACAGCCCGAGATTGGTCCCTTTGATTATTTACATTTTACAGTAGGTTAAATTGAGGCATAGCCTGCGCCCTGGCCCTCGGCCACCCTTGGGTTTCTCAGATGGGGAAACTGAGGCCCAAAAGAGGCCGCGACTCCCCAAGGCAAGGCTAAGGCCGCAACCTGGAACCTGGGGGTAATTTACAAGATGTTCGATGCGGTGGTTTCCTGCAGGCAGCCCCCCGCCTGCAAAGTGTCCCAGGAATCCATATTCTTAAAGTTTTCAAATGTTTTAGGTAACATGTTAAATTTTGTTATCGGGCTCAACACAGAAAAATGAAAAAGAGAACTTAAAAGGTGCTCATACTCAGTCCCCAGGGTTAACAGACAAATATAAACCTTTAAACATAATTTAAGGGTGAATACATACATTACTTTTTTTTTTTTTTTTTTTTTTTTTTAAGATGGAGTCTTGCTCT